GCTCCACAGCTTCCTCCCAGGGCCTGTCCATGTCACAATCATCTCCATTCACGCCCGCAGACTTGCAGTCAAATATGCCGCAGAATCCCAAAAAACTGCACTGCCCCTCCACTGGGAGATCCCGCATTTCCAGGAAGCGGATGAGGTGACGGCGGAGGTGCTGGACCATCCGCTGCACCGCACCCAGCAGAGAGCCGCACGCAAAATATGCTGTTGAGCACAACAATTGGCGTCTCGGTTGCCTTCTTCGGTGACATCTCATGCGACATCGCGCGCACTGCAGCATCCCGCGTGCGAGTTTCATCCGGTACACGATGCAATGACGGTACGTGACGTCATTCATTTTCCCAACCGCCGTGTTAGACGGCGGTGGCAGGAGCCCACTCGCAACCCACCAAAAGACACCAGCGTTAGCCTCATGAAGTTAAAGCAGCGTCAAGGCAACCTCTTGCCACTCCCGCCCCGCTCCGGTGGAGGAAAAGCTCTCGCGCTCCGGTCGACCCGCCAGAAGGTGATACGCCTCCTCTACACCACCACCAAAAAATGCCAAACGACGCGCCTACACCAGAGCATTCGCGTCCTGTTACCCGTGGCACAGTTGCCGCCCGCCGTCCTCCACGTACGGCACAAACGCCAGCTTTCCTTCCCTGGGTTCCACGCGCTGAACCACACACACGCTCGAGAAAGAAAAAAGAGCAAAAAAATAAATAAATCAGCCACCACACATAACTGTCCCCAATGCGATGCTCGCCCTCAAGCTCTCCAGCGCGCCTACGCACGCAGAAGAAGTTCCCAGAACTGAGAGGGCCGCACTCCATATAGCAAAAATGAACCACGTAGTGCGATGCGCAAAGTTCAACAGTCACATCCACTACGCTTCACCCATAATTCCGTTTCTTTTTCCCTCTCGCTGGTCCTCTCCCACTCAAACCATTTTCCCCAACCCCCCAGCATTCACTCGCACATCAACCCTTTGATATAAATATAAATATAAATATTATTTATTTATTTATTTATTCACGTACATCCCTTTGCGACCAGTGGATGTGTAACACCATCACTGTATTGTGTTCCTTTACATCTCCCACACTTTTTTTTGCGTTTTGTCTTTAGCCCCCCC